GAGAGGCCAGGGAGAAGATATATCCTGATATACCCTTCCAGGGCACATGGCACATACCCAGTGACTTACTTCCTCCAACTGGCCCTACATCCTACAGTTTCCATTGCCTTCCAATAATGCCATCAAATTATAAATCTATCAGTAGATTAATTCATTGATGGGGTCAGAGCTCTCATGGTCCAACCACTTTTCAGAAGTCCTACCTCCGAACACGGCTACACTGGGAACCAAGCTTTTAATATAGCCAACGTTTCAGATCCAAACCATAACAACCTTCATTGCTAGGTGAACTTGAACCTGACCCTTCCTTTTGCTGGACCTCAGATTCCCACCAAAGTGGCCCACTCCAAACTCATTCGGGTCTTTGCATCTTCCTGCACCTGAAGGATAAGTTGGTGCTATAGTTTGGATCTTGACTGTCCCTCAAAGGCCCATCTCCTAAAGGCTTGTTCACCAAACTGTGGTACTGTTGGAGGTGGTGGAATCTTTAAGAAGTGGGGCCTAGTGGGAGGAAGTTGTGTCATTCGGGGTGCACCCTTGAAGGGGACATTGGGACCCTGGACCCTTCCTGTCCCTGATGAGGTGGGCAGCTTTACTCCACTGAGGGCTCCCGCCATGAGGTGCTGCCTCACTGTGGGCTGGGAAGCAATGCGCCATCTGACTATGGACTGAGACCTCTGAAACCATAAGCCTAAGTAAACCTTTCCTCCCTGTAAGTTGGTTATCTCAGGTATTTTAATCACGGTGATGGCAGGCTGACTAATACAGTTGGCTTCTTAATGAGAGTCACTTTCTAAAAAGCAAAAGGAAACTGCTCAGGAGCTTTTAACATCAGCCCGGGAAGAGTTATGGTTCTGTCGTGTGGGTCTGTGGAGAGCCATCCATCACCCACAGGCACCAAACAGCTCCGCAGAACAACTGACTGCTGCGCGCCCCTCAAGGAAACATCTTTCTACAAATAACAACATTCCTTTGAAAGTTATTTCCCAGAGGGAAGTGAAGATGAATATGTGTGGTCTAAAGCCCAGGGGTACGCAGACAGGCAGAAGGCAATCACCCCAGCCCAGTAGCCATCCACCTGGACACGGTTCCCATGCCTACAGGAGCAGAGCCCCATGACCAAGGCACATGGCCAATGCCCCTTGAACTGCACTCCCCCACCATGGGCCCTGGACTCTCACTGGTAAAGAAGAAAGCCAGAAAACCTCCATCCAGGCCAAACCCGGGGAAGCAGAGCCAGGTTTTACACAAGCTCCCACAATGCCGTTCCTTCACCCCAAAGTCAGAACCAGTGACTCAGAGTGCCACCCTTTTTCAGAGACACTTTGGCCACCTAAGTTAGAAATGGAGCCTTAAGACTGGAGCGGCAAGGCTGGTGCCATGGCCCACACCTTGCTTGGTGGCTTCACAGGGACACCTGTCCAGCTGAGCCCCAGGTGCAGCTGCATGGGCCACTCCCATTCCAAGGATACTAGAGGCTGCG